GTGAGTCAGAGTCTTTCACTTCATTGAGAGTAATAAATTTTTCAAAGACCTGTGAATTTCATGCACTATCGACTTGGATTCTTGATTTTTTCTGGTACGTGTCAAAACATTCTTTAACTGCACATATCACTGATCTCTTCTGGGAAACTGAGACCAGGCTGTCTATGCTGAGCACAGGAAATTGCAAATGTCCTCGAGGCAGAAGAAATGGGATCTCAAAGCCTGGAGCTCAGGCTTGCACTGCCATTGGAATTGGGCTCTGCCTTCACTTGCTGAAGCCTGACTTGGCAGATTAAAGGTTCTGCCACTCCATGGCCAGTGGAGAAACATCAAACCCCTGGATCCTTTCAGGAAAACATGATGACATTAAAGCATCTCTGCATTCAACAGACAAATCTTTTTGTGGGAATGGAAAAACAGAAACTTCCACAGGCGTGGGAGGGTTTGATTTGTAGTCTTATAAGAAGCGTGGATTAGTATAAAAATACAGTACACAGACATAAAGCAGGAAAATCATAAACTTATGTTTCTGTAGTTGTAAGTAACAATATGCCTTCAGTAAGTTAAAAAATGTATTAATAAGATGGTGAAGGATTTATAATGTAGTAATGTGGGTGTATAGAGTAAGCTAAGAGTTCAGAGGCTGTAATAGAAGCTCATGTAAGTGTGATAGTAGCCCATTAGATGAAATTATCTGCAGTACAGCAAAATTAAGGTGATGGGTTAGAAAAGCAAAATAAACTGTCCATTGGGTTAGAAAGTTCTACATTGTCTTGTAACAGAGAACTTGTGACTACTATGGCTGACTGCTTGCTCCTCTAAAATCTCATGGCCTCTGAGACTGATATTTATCTGAGCAATAAATAGGTTTTTGTGGTGCCATCCCTTCAATTAAAGCAGCAATAATAATGCCTTTTGTTATGAACAATTCAAGCCTTTTTGATTTTCCCAGATACAGAATTGCTTGTCAGCAGGGATGGCAGGCAGCTCCTGTTCTCTCCTCTGACACCGAGGTTGATGCTTCCTCCTTTCCTTTGCTTTCTGGTTTGGTTTCCACGTTTCCCAGAATTAATTTTTTTAAACCTGTTGATGGAGTGCTACGAAATGGCACAAAGATGGTGATGGGAAATCATGTCAGAAAATGCGGCAAGAGTGAATCTGGAGGAAAGCTGCAGGGACAGGAGAAGCACGTGGCTCTCTCTGTCCACACCTGAGCCTCCTAAGCCAGACTTACTGGGATCCAGTTGACTAAATTTAATCAGTTTAGTTAGAGACCTCTGACTAGATGTGCCAGTCTGCAAGGAGAACAGTAAAGTCTGAGCTTTAAACCCTTGGCTTTCTTTACAATCAGTCATGTCCTGACTTTTATTCACCTCTAGCAAAGAAGATACCAAAAGAAAGTAAGGATAAATCACACTTTTTTTGTCTTTTTACTGTAGATTGAACCAAAATTTTCTTATCAAATCTGTCAGAGAACAGGGGCATGGTGGGTTTCTTAATAATCTAGAGTTCAATCATAGGATGGTTTGGGTTGGAAGCGACCTGAAAGCTCATCCTGCCATGGCAGGGACACCTTCCACTATCCCAGATTGCTCCAAGCCCTGTCCAGCCTGGCCTTGGACACTTCCAGGGATCCAGGGGCAGCTGGATAACCTGGAATAACCTGTTCTGGTGTCTCACTAGCCTCCATCATTTGATGGACTTTGGATAAATATATCCATCTATGTGTGGCACTGATCATCCACAATTTCAAGCTGAAGAGTTCTGCAAATTAACAGGAAGTGTGTGAAGAAATATTTCCTTTTTAGTCACATCCTGCTTGCATAGACAATGCATTATTATTATTATTATTATTATTATTATTATTATTATTATTATTGTTAACAATAGTAATAATAATAACTATTATTACAAAATGATCGATTTTCTTGTCTGTACCTGGTGAACTGCATAGGAACTGCCACATTTGTGTTTTGAGACAACCCCTGGATGCTCCAGAGCTGGGCAACTGTGGAGGGTGAACCTTCACTAACAGCAGAACTCTGTTTTTCTTGCTATTTCCCTTTTTTTTTTTTTAATATATTCTAAGAACTTGAATATTTATTTAATATATTTATTTAATATATTTATTTAATATATTCTAAGAACAGCCAGTGCAGTTTTCTCTATCTTTGGGGATGCTTAGGGGATGATGTAGCAAAAGCCCTTCTGTTCTTGGGAGATCCTGGAGATCTGTGACAATTTATCTTTTCCAGGCACTTGGGAGCCCTTAAAACAGAACTGTGTTTGTTTTGAAGACAAACAAATCTAATATGGTTGTGCCTGGTGTGTCCCCTGGGGGAAAAAGGCTGAAATTTATTACTGGGATCTTGGAGATGATGAAACTGTGCAGCATTATGAGTTCCTACAAATGGCGAGGAAAACTTTCCAGGAGAGTTCATCAGGAAACCCTCTCCATCCTTGAAATAGCAGTGGTGGCTTTTAACATTTCCAAAAAAAAAAAAGAAAAAGTGTGCAGATGGTTCAGAGCATCATCACACAAACAAAAGCACAACACAAGCACCATCAAACTGGATTATTAGAGAGTCACTGAACGGTGTGGGTTAGAAAGGATCTTGCAGATAAATCTTATTCCACCCCCTGCCATGGGCAGGGACACCTTCCACCATCCCAGGCTGCTCCAAGCCCCATCCAGCCTGGCCTTGGACACTTCCAGGGATCCAGGGACAGCCACAACTTCTCTGGGAACCTGTGCCAGGTTGCCACCCTCACAGGGAAGAATTCCTTCCTACGTCTTGATCTGAATCTCCCCTTTTTTATTTTAAAACCATTCCTCTTCTCCTGTGGCTATCTGCCTGTGCAGAAGTTCCTCTCCCTGTTTTTTATAAGCCACTTCAGCTGCTGAAAGGATTTCACCATGAGATTTGCTCTCCGGTTTTGTTGGGTGGTGCATCCCTGATCCAAACTGTTCATTCCCTGGGATGTGAGGGAAGGAAAGCTGAACTGTGCACAGGGGGCTCCAAAAGAACCCAGAGTTTATTAAATTTGGGGATTTCTGTCCCTGTTTGCTTAGCAGATAAAGGAAAGCAGGTCCCACACCACTTCCTCTGTGGTTTTCCTTAGTCAAGAGTGAAGGAAATGGGATGGAAAATAAAATACCAAAAGTGCTCCAGTGAACCACTGGAACCAAGTTATTATAAAAGTATTTATAAAAAAATCACTTTTATTTTTGTTTTCTATTGGGATAATACTTTTTTTTAATACTATTTTTTTTAATATCGTGGTGGGTTTTTATATTATGAAGGGATGGATGCTTGTTGTTTTTTTTGAGGGATTTGTAACAGTAATTATGAATTTTTTTTTTGTAGATATAAGGTAGCTTTTTAATTTTTTGTGAGAGTATTTTGTGTGTTACTAAATTTTAATTTATTGAGAAATTATAGTGATGTTTGGTTTTTTGTTTAGTATACTTGTAATATGAATTGTTTTACTAAAGTGTGTTAGAATGTCTGTTAGATTTGTTTGTTGATTGCTGCTACATTTTATCTAAAGGACATTAGGTATTGGGTTAACGTTTTTACAAGGTATTTTTGGGTATATAACTTATTTATTTATATTTATTGGTAATGCAGTAGTAATAGTTATTGTTGTATTTGGTTGAATTATTTTTGGAGTCTTGTAAGTAAGAGCTGAAATTATCAGCTCTTCATTATAATTTGTTGAGATGACAGTTGGAAAAACTGAAAGTCTAAGAATTTTATTACTGTCTTTGTTTATAATTAGAAAGTCTTGTTTTTGTTGTGAAGTATTAGTAATTCTTGTGGGAATGTATTTATGTTAAAAGTGTTTTAAAAAAATATATTAATTTGCAAGTTGTAATTCTGATTGTGATGGTGTGAATGATAACATCTGTATTGTCTCACCCTTCTCATGACAATGAAAATGGAATAAAAGTTTTAAAAACACCTCTCAGTTGCCCCAGCTCTGGGTCAAAAAAGGGAATAATCCAACAAATCACCCTCAGCCAGGGCACTGATTTTCATGGTGTTTTCCACTGGGTGGGATTTGAACTTCAGCCGTGCCCCTGTAAAGTGATCTCATGAAATCTGAGGTTTTATTCTCCTTTAACTGATATTCCCTGGCCACTGTCTGCTACAGGATTGAAGTCCTGTATTGATTTCCAGAAATGGGTCGCATCCTTATTTTGCTGCTGCTTTGGGATTGCCTGGATTGTGTTGGCTGCAATGTTCCTCTCATAAAGGAATTTTTTTATTCCCTTCCTTTTTTCCCCCTTTACTTTTTTCTTGTACTTGGCTGTACTAGAGAGTTAAAGATAGAAAACAGAAAAAAAAAAAAAAGAAAATACTTGGATCAAGTCAACCTGATTTATTTGACATTGTATTATTTTTGACAAAAGAATTTGCCTTGAGTTCTCTGGAAATAAATAAAGGTAACACTGTGGAGTTAACAGGGTGACAGAATAAGAGAAACAGCTTTTAATTTGGTTTAGATTCCAGAGAGATTTTAATGAATTGTGCAAAGACTCATAAGAAACTGGTGGAAGATCAAGCCAAGCCAACATATATTCCCAATTCTTCTTTAAATTATTTTTATTTTTATTTATTTATTTAGAGACAGCCTTGTTCAGCTTTATGTGAAGAAGGAATTCAGTAAAATAAAACAAACATATTAGAAATCATGTTTTGACAGGGAGAACAATATAAAACCCCCAAATAATTTATGAGAATTTTAATTACTGAATTAGGCCTTAGATCTGCTAGAAAAAAAAAAAAAAGGAGTAAAAGTAAAGAAGAAAAAAGGGAAAGAAAATGAAGTTTGTTACAGTTTTTTTCTCAACTTTAAATGATATTTTTCTTTCTTCTTTTTTTTTTTTTCTTGCAATGGGTTCTTAAAACTTACTGACACTTCCTGCTCACCTCAGTAACTGATTTATTTCTGTAACTGGGTTTTTTATTTACTCGTTTTCCCCCATATTTCAGGTTGCAGCAACCCATTCCAACTGCATCATTAAAAAGGAGCAAGAGACTTGTCTGGAGAAGATCCGGAGGGCCACGGCCCTGAACCCTCTCAATGACTCTTCTCCGGGTGAGTTTCAGTCCCTGCACGTTGAGCTGACCATTTAAAGTGGTTTTCACCATTCCCTGGGATGCCTGGAGGGGTTTTCAGCTCTGTCAAAGCAAACACTTTGTGGTGAGAGGAGCATCACTGCTGCTGAATGAGCTTGGGGAAATTAAAACCAAAAATTCAATCAGTGGGGGTGCATAAGAACCATTCCTGGTTATTATCAGAGGTCAGGAATTTGTTTCTTTACTTAAGGTTACAATATATCTGCAAAACTAATAATAAAAAAAAGGAGTAGATTAAGAAGAAATTGGATGATTTTTGCCTTTATGACAGCAGCTTTGGGGACAGGATGTGACACAATAAAAAAGGAGTAGATTAAAAAGAAAGGATGCCTGGATGATTTTTGCCTTTATGACAGCAGCTTTGGGGACAGGGTGTGACACAAAGTGCTGCTCTGGAGCAGCAGCTCGTTTTCCTTCCTCACCTCAGCAATAATTTGGGTACCTCTTGCATGATCTGAGGCCCTTTGCAGGGATTATCCTTGTGGTGTCTGTAATCTTGATGAAGGATACTCGTGCTTTTGCTGAGATAAGAAACTGAGGCAGTGAGCAAAGAAATTTATAGTTTAATATCCTGTCCTATTTCCTCCTGGCTGCAGCAGGAGCCGCCTGTGGCCAGCACCAAGCACAGAAGGGCAAAGAATGACAAAGAAACTAATTGGAAATCAGGGTCCATTTACTGAGCCCTGTCCAAACTGCTTCTGCTGTGACTGGAATTGATAAAACCGCAGAGAAAAGCTGATAAAACACGTTGTGTGTGATAAAAGAGGGGAGCTTTGTCTCCCCTTTTCCTCGCAGCACATTTTAGTGCAGGAGCACAGGAGGTCAGAATGCAGGTGTCTGTGTTGTCAGTGTCCTCTAAAGCAGCCCATTCCTGCATTTTAGCTGCTGGGAGTATTTCCACCAGGAAGGAGGGTTTCCATCAGGGTCCTGCTATTCTTCTCACGCATAAATTCATTTCTGTTCTGCTGCCCAGCTCTGGGCAGAGGAACTGTGGGGTGTGGTGGAAGTGAGGAAAGCTCAGTGTACCCCGGGCAGTTCATTCCACCCCCAGGGATGTGTTTTTGACACCCTCTTCGTACTCTACAGAAGAGCTTCCCAACTTTTCCCTGGTCCAGAAGTGGCATGAGCAAGGAAAAAAGGGGGAAAAAAGCCTTTTTCTTGCCTCCTACCCTCAGAATGGTGCCAGAAGCTGATCATGAGACCTATTCCTTATGCTTTATGCAATGGCTATTGCTTGGATTCAGGAATTCATAGAACTCCCCAGGTGAGAAGAGACCATTTCACCAGCCGGCTTTTATTTCTTTATCACCCAAATCCAGAATAACCCTGACAGCTGGGGACTATTCACACAGAGCTCCTCTTCCTGCCTGTTCCAAATGGAAAGGACACAGCTCAGGGATGGAGGAAGCCCAGAGCCATTGGAAAAGGCTTTTGCATCTCAATGTGATGAAATTGTATCACCCACTCAGGCAGGAAGGGAGTGGATCCTTTCAGGCTCTCACTCCGAGCAGAACCCAGCTGCTCCCTGTTCTGCTCCCCCAGTATTTGCAGGCTGAATCACTGGGAAGATTTTCCCAGGCTCATTGAGCATCTTTTAGTTGTTCCCCACATCCTGTGGCAACGAGTTCCACAGCTGACGTGGCTTAGAGTAAAACAAAAAACTTATTCCCTCCATGAGATGAATCTTCCACTGGAGGATTCTGGTGTATTTCTTGTTTGAAAGCCCTTTCATTCCTTGGATCCTGCTTGCTGGCCTTTTTCTCTGCATTTTAATTTATTTTTCTAAATTTTTTGTAGACATGTTTTAAATGTATTTCATTTCACCTCTGGGTCTACAGCATTTCACTCTAAGTCCCGACCTTTGACTCACCTTTCATTATTTCATGATACTTATTTCAAGCCAGATCCTGCCATCCTCATTCTCAACAAAGCTTGATCTCCTTAATAGGAGGATATCAACAAAATTCTACCATTTTCTTACTGGTTGAATTTGTGGGAGATATTTCACCACAAAACTCCCTGGAGATGCAGTAACCCTCCAGAAATTAAGCAGCTATAAGTGCAGAGTGTTGATTCCTCTTGAATTTCTCCTGCTGCACACAAATTATTTTTTTATTTGGGAAAAATGAAAATTGCCCCATATATTTTTTTATATTCAGCACTAAGACTGAATGATGACAGTGGAAAAATGTTATCAGCTTTCTTTCAAAGAAAGAGAAATATAGGGAATAACTCCCTTGCTTTTCAGGAACAGCTGAAATAAGGGAGATTTTTTTTTTTTTGTTCACCTCCTGACTGGTGAACAAAATTCTGTTTATTCAGAGGAGAAGCACCTCTGAACAAATTACCTCTTTGACTATTCCTGCATGAAAATTCCCAAAGAAAAATTCAATGTATAAAATTTTCGAGAGTTTATTTCTCCTCAGTGGAGCTGCAAGGTCTGAGATAGGATCATGAATTTTTAGGAAGTCTGTACGTGCTTGTGAAGATGGTCAAGTTACTCTGACTTAAAAGAAAAATCCACCTATTATGGCAGGTGACACAAAGAGAGTCTGGGACATGAACAGTCCTTGTAGTCTGTATTTCTACAGGATCTAGAACAATGTTATAAAATATTAGGGTGCTTCTCCAAGGTGCCACCGTGGTGCAAAATGTGCCAGTGGTAAAGTCTCTGCTCTTTAGGGACTTTGTTTTCTGTGCTGGTGATTCTCTGCACGGGAAGCCCAATCCTTGGGTTGCAAGAGAGGAACAACAACTTCTGGTTCCTACATTTTGCAAGAATTCAGCTCTGCTGCCTTTGCTTTACCCCCTTGCTGTGTTCAGTGAACACAAACATCGACCAAATGGGGTTTCTGATGTTTCCTCCTTTCTCTCCCACTCTACCTCTCATGCCCAGATGTTCTGCTCATTATTTCTTTATTCTTCACAGCAGTTTCCTCTCCTTCTGCTGCTGGGCCATGCCTTTAATGCTTCAGAGGCAATGATTGTCTTGAGATTTTCTGTTTGGTTTATTTTTTTTTCCATTAGTTTTATGACGGATTCTTCCTCTTAAATGCTTTAAATTCTTTAGAAAACTTTATATGAGATGAAATAGGGGGCATGCACTGACCCTATGTGTCCATTCCCGTTCAGTCATCACTAACAGCCTGAATGGAAAAGAGAATTTGAAGGAAATGAAATCTCAGCAGGACCCAGAATCTGACTCCCTTGCTCCGGAGGAGGAATAAACTGATAAAGGGGAGTAATGAAAGCCAAAGGCAGACAAGAGAGGAAGGAGAGCAGTGATTACTTCATACTCAACTTCCCCAGGCAGTGGTGCCAGGCTATTTCTTACATCAGTGTTTCCAATTTCCTTGGTTTGAGTTTTTATCCCTGTCCTACTGTGGAGCTGCCCCAGTTTGTGCTGGACCCTCTTCTAGCTCTCACCAGCCCTCCAGATATTTTCTGCAGATCAGAACTGATAAATCTCACTGCTGATCCATATGCAACCCATTTTTATTTATATTTCTCCCATCCAGACTCTTCTGACCTGTTCCCAACCCTGGGGCTAGGAAAGACTGATACAGGAGTTACTCAGAATTAATGACAGTTTCCTGGGTTAGGTGCATTTAGCAAGGGATTTATCTAATTAAATGTTGATACCTGCAATTGCATCTGCACTACCAATGGGCAAGTCACCTTCCTCAGTTTGTAGCTCTGGAGGTCTACCAGGCAGAGCTGAGACATAATTTATTTCATCCTCAACAGAGGTTAGATGATGTCTATTTTTTCTCTCTGGACACATGGAATAAAAGCTGACCGTGTCAGCTGTAAATAATCACATTTAGGTGTCTACATTTGATCAGAAATACCCCACCTTTAGCTTCTGTCTTTGTTATATTGAGTAGGTCATGCTGGAGGTCTGGATTACCCCAAAAATCTGCATTGTGATGGAAAAAGCCCTGCTGATGAAATGGAGAACCATAGATTGGCATAAAGTACTTTTCCCAGCCTTTTCCCTGTCTTGCTTTCCACTGTTGGATCCAGATATTCCAGATTTGTTCCTTGAGTGTGTCCCTCTCTCAAATCATGGGAGAGTTCCTTGAGTGATTTGCAGATATGTGTTTACAATTTAGTGTTCAAAGTGCTTAAAATGCTCTAACCTGGAATGAGCCAAGGAGTGACAAAACTGAACTCAGCACAAGAATTTGAATAGAAAAAGTGATGAGGCCTCGTTGGTGATTATGTGATTCATGACTCACTGTCAAACCAATCTTTAACTTCAGAACTCCATCATCTGTTGTTTTCCAGTCCCACTCCTCCTGTCCTTCCTCTGAAAAATGTAGAGAGGAAGCAACATTCCCAGGCATGTCAAAGAATTGAAAGGAAAGGAGGATTTGAAGGGATGTGATGGTTCCTGCAAGGAATCACATTGAATCCTTGTTAAAAGTTACCCTGTAAATCAACAGGAAAGCAACTGGTAAGGGCACCAGGGGGTAGGAGATGGTAATTAGGAAGCAGTGTTGTGATGCAAGGAGAGATTTTGAATTATGTTTCCATCACACGAAGATGATGGAGCAGGTTTTTTTTTCAGTTTCACATTTTTTATTGAGTGCCTCATCAGCCTCTTGTTCTCTCAGAGCCTTTGAATTATCTGCTGTTATTTCCCCTGGCACCACTGGGAAGACATTACTTCACTGTGTCTCCCTTACTGAAGCAGCTGTGCCCAAGAACAACAGGACTAGGATTGAATCCAAGCTGATGAATTCCTAGAGTTGGAAGGGCATAGATAAGAAAATGTCTCTACAACCTGAAAGTTTTCTCTGTGGCTCCTTTTAAAGTAGAATACAGACCTAGATAGCTTTGATATCTATGGATACATCTCCCCTTGGTCAAAGATGCTTTTTTTGGGCACTGAGGGATTTATCCATGTGACTTCTACTAAGTTCATATTGGAGCTGGTAGGAACAAGGAGGAAGT